ATGTAGATAAAATAAAGCAAATATTAATTATTTTTCTTTAATGTTTTTATCTTTACACACATCTGTACCTATACACCTATGCTAGAAATGTTCACCTGTGAAACTTCGCAAAAGCTATCCACGGAAAAACAAAACAGTTGTTATCATATCTATATTCATCTGATTTACGTACAATGTCGGGATTATCTTCTTGACCTGTCAAGTACATGTGAGTATGATATAGAACAATCTTAATTGTCAGTACAAAATTATAAGAATTGTTGAATTCAGCGGATTTTCGAAGTTTCCCGTTGGGATAGTAAAAGCTCTACATTAACAGGTCGATACACAATTACCAACAGATATACGGGATGGATATCACTTGATTTCTGGACATGCTAGTTGGTACAGGAACTGCACCAACGTTCGGGTTGGCCGTCCGGTCATTTTTCGTTTAGCCAGATATGGAACGATTCCATATGTGCTAAGCATGCCGGATCCGCGAGTATCGATATGGGCCCAGTCGGCGCARGGRACCATTTCATGGAGTATAGCCGCCGCTAAGCAAGAGCTCGCTAGACCACGCCCATCGTTGCTCAGATCATATCCGAGTTCATCCGTAACCTGTTTTCTGTAGTAATTCCATAGTGGAAGGCGCCACATGCGATCACCGGTGAGAGAGCCAGCCTTTTGGAATTGCTTCCAGATGTAATGAGAATTGGAAAAGATCGCGTTTGCCCCGCCACCGAGTGCCTGCTGGGCACCCCTGGCAATGGTGCCCACGTCCACCACCAGACGCGGCTTGTAGCTGGTTTGGCCGTAAATCAAAGGATCAGCCATTACGACGACGGCTGCCTTGCTCAGATCTCGAATGGCCATTGCCTTCGCATTCAGCAAGGTGCAAACGTCGCCTGGCTTTGTGGACATGCCCGATGGCATGTTCTCACACAGCGGCACAATTACAACCACATTGATGGGCAGCGACAATGCCGCAACGCAGCGCATCATGGCCACACAGGCCGCCGCGCCGGACATCTCCGCCCTATATTCGTCCATGCCCTCGCAYTCACGCAAATTGATGCCGCCCGAGTTGAATGTGATGCCCTTGGCGATGAAGAGCACGGGTTTGTCGTCCGGCGAGGTGCCGCAGTAACTAATCTCCATGAGTACTGGGGGCTCGCATGAGCCCTTKGCTATCATCAGAAAGGAATGCATGCGCTGTTGCTCGATCCAGTCCATGGTGCGTATCTCCACAGTGATGCCGCATGGRCACAGTGCRTCCACTGTGGCCTGGGCGAACAGCGTAGGCGTCATACAGTTGGCAGCCGCATCGCTCAAGCGACGGGCCAGATTCTGCGATTCCGCCTTAAAAATGCCACGCACCCAGCCAWCCTGATCGTGTGAGTCATACAATTCCAGCTTGGGTTTGACCGGATGATTCTTTTTACTTAGCATATCAGTAAACTGCCAAACACCCAGCATTGCACCCTCGGCCGCCTGCTCCGCATACTCCATGCTCTCGACGGCGATATCRGTGAGACGAAGCTTTTGCAGGGACTGGGCACCGATGCCGGCCGCAATGCGTACATTTTCCATACCCTCGTCCAACATTTCCAGCTCGTTAAAGCCGACGCCCTGCAGGCCTAATCCAACGACAGCAATACTGTTAAAGTCGGGATCAATGTTGTTGAACACCTTTCCGCGACCCAATTGTCCGTTGATTTTGGTTTCTCTAATTAAGTGCGCGAGCTTTCCCCCGGTGCGATCGTTCACGATCTCGGCGCTTTGCGTCAACTTTGCATCTTTGTCGCCCTCCTCTTGGAATATACCGAGAATGAGACCCTTTCCTCTTGTCTCCTTGGCACAAGAGAAGCGAACGCTCTCGAATAACGGGGAGCCGCGCAGTAAATTGGACTTAACCAAAATTCGACGCACACTCTGCATATTGAAAATTAAATTAATTCCACAAATAATTTACGACTATAGGTCAAAAAATAAATATGTGCTTATAGAAACACTAAAATCGTGAAAAATAAACGAGAAAAGCTTAGAAAAACACTTATAATTTAGAATAAATAATTTTTTTTGTTTTTTTGTTTTTTTTTTTTCAAAATTCCACTGAACAAAACATTAAGAAGCAAGCACTGAATAGGTTGAAATAACAAAAAAGACTCAACTGGAAATCGAGCTGTGACAGCTAAGCTATTGGACAACTATGMAAACGCTTGCTGSGGTCGACAAYGAAATATACTCATTCTCATTTCAGCTTCAGTTGAAAGTAAAATTATTAAAAAATTACACGATTCTGCAACGCGATTCTACAACATAAGCATACTCTTTGCTTACTGTGCACTTGGGTTGGGAAATTGGTTA